GAGAGAGGAAGAAAGAAAGAAAGTTGAGATTCTGGAGAAGGCAGGTTGAGAGAGGTGCTGGATGGTCAGTACACGTTCAGGTTGCTGTTATGTCTGTATACCAAGGAGTGTTACAGTTAGAAAAACTACATAAGCATTGAAATGTACGGAAATTAACAAGTTAGGTACAGATACACTCCCTGTCCACAGCATCTCCAAAATAAATGTACTGATGTAAAATGTAACATCGCATATTCCAAAAGCGACAGCCTTGCCCCTGCCCCCCAGCCCTGCTCGTTTTCAGCCTCCAGACCAGAATCAGGAAACCCAGTTAAAAAACGAGTGTTGCAGTTTAATTGGATACAATAAAAACATCTGAAACAGCTGTAGGGCGTAACTGTGGGATGCTAAATACAGCCGTGCTCCCAGGGGTGAAAGTAAGTTAAAGGACTTACCTGTACTATGGAGTCCTGCGCATGGGGCGTGGCCTCAACCGGAAGAGGCGGGGCCTTTAAAGCAAGATTTAAAGGCCCCTGGACTCCGGCTGGGAGCCCAAGGGCCTTTAAATCACCCCTGGAGCTACCAGCTGCAGAGGTGGCTGGGAGCCCCGGGGCTCAGGGGCAATTTAAAGGGCCAGGGGCTCTGGCCGCCGCTACCGCAGCGGAGCTCCGGGACCTTTAAATCACCAACGGAGCCCTGTCGCCACTACCCTGGGGCTCTGGCAGCGGGGCTCGGGTGGCGCTTTAAAGGGCCCGGGGCTCCTGCCGCTGCAGCCGGTCCGGTCCAGCAAGGCGAACCGGACCGGACTGGCTTACTTTCACCTCTGCGTGCGCCACACCAGCAGGAGTTGCATTTCAGTGCTCAATGAAGGGCTAAGATCTTTTTTAGGAATATGCGTGTAAGACTATTATTAGCCTAACAACGGACTGGCAGCAGTTTTGGGTGGCATGATGGTATGTTTGGATCTGGAGAGACGGGCAGTTAATCAATGTGCCCTCCTTTATACCCAGATTGCCAGATCAAACCATATGGTAGCACAAAAAACAAGAGACTTGTCTTTTTTCTGTCTAATTTACTCAAAGGTGTATTGCCCCACTGGATGTTGTAGGCCAGCGTCTGAATCTCCTTAAAGTGTTTGGTCTGGCTTTCTCCAAAGAGAAAAGGAAAATGTTCAGGAAAAGGTCAAGAGAAGCTTCAGGGGCTCTGCCCAGGGCAGGATCTGGGCAGAGCTGGAGGCCGCCCTAGCTGTGCAGAACGAGAGGCAGCGTGGCTTATAGGAGCTCTATCTGGCTCTATTTCATGTGCTGGGTATGAGTACAGCACCTCGCACAATGGGGCCCTGGTCTTGGTTGGGGCTTCTAGGTGCTACTGGAATACATATAATAATGACCGGCTGTGTGACACGGGGCAAGTCACTTTGTGCCTCGGTTTCCCTATGTGGAATGTGGGGATGGTAATAGCCATCTACTTGGCAGAGGATTTATGAAGGAACAAGAAAGCCCATTCATCATGTCAAATCTGGAGAGATATTATTGCAACAGGGGCCACAGAAAGAAACGTCTGGGGAGAAAGGAGAGAGCCCTGTTCCAAACCAGAACCTGTACAGAAACAGTAAGGCCCCTTTAAATGGGAGGTAGCAGGGTCCAGTCAATAGAGCAAGGACTGGGCGTCAGGAGGCCTGATTTCTCCCAGTTCTGTGTCTGGCTTGCTGTGCCAGCCTGCGGCAGTCACACCCCGTCTCTGGGCTATGCTATGGGGCTAACACTACAAAGAACAGTGGGGGAAGAGGGGCGCTCTGTGGAATCAATGGCACAAGAGCCATAGGGATGGAACAGCAGAGCTGCTGTTCAAAGGTGAAAAGAAACTCCAGGATCTAGTCAAAGGACTCCTCCTCCTGCATCCCCCACCTCAATGCCCGCTTGGCTTCGGGGGAAATGAACAGCTTCACTTTCCAGACAGGATAACTGGCCTTGGAAGTGACTTGCCAAAAGTCACATGGGTGCTTTGTGGTAAGAGAAGTCTGATCTCACAGGCCCATGTTTTATCCCCAAACCATGGGGTCTCTCCTGCCAAGGGGTTCAAATCTCTGTGCTTACACCAGTTACACAATGGGGGACACCAATGCATGATGTCCATCTGCATAAAGTACTTTCAGATCTACAGAGGAAGAAGTGCTAGGTAAGAACAAAGCATTATTCTCAGCCTCATTTCTCAGGTGGGATAGCCAAGGCCTAGAGAGGGGCAGTGAGTTGGAGAGAGGAAGGATGATCCGGTGGGTTAGGGCACTAGCCTAGGGCTTAGGTGATTTTGATTCAATTTCCTCCTCTGCCACAGACTTCCAATGTGACCTTGGGCAAGTCACTTAGGCCCAGATCCTCAAAGGTATTTAGGCACCTAACTTCCATTGGGAGTGAGACACCTAAATCCTTTTGCAGATCTGTGCCTCAGTTCCCCATCCGGACAATAGGGATAATAGCACTGCCCTGCCTCAGAGGACAGATGCGAGGACAAATGCTTTAAAGCTAGTGAGGCGCTCAGATACTAGGGTGACCAGACCAGATAAGTACATAGGGATAGCTCAGTGGTTTGAGCATTGGCTTCCTAAAACGAGGGTTGTGAGTTCAATCCTTGAGGGGGCTGTTTAGGGATCTGAGGCAAAATTGGTACTTGGTCCTGCTAGTGAAGGCAGGGGACTGGACTTGATGACCTTTTGGGGTCCCTTCCAGCTCTATGAGATAGGTGCCCCAAGGGGCATGGTGGTCTTATGAATTAGTGGGGCAGAGGAAGCCAGGCACTTGTCTTGGGCCTGGCTTCATTTGCAATGGCTTGTTAGCTCTTCCGGCAGCTGCACTGCGTAGCAAACGGAGCTACCTTGGGAACATGTGTCCAGAATGTTGTCGCTGCACCAAAGCCAGAATTAGCTCGGCCACCGCCACTCATCCGTCCTGTTTAGATAAAATGTTAAAGGCTGCTGCTGCTGCTTTTATCTCAAGAAAGCAACAACCAACCAGCGTCAGTGTCCTCCTTCAAACTCCCCTTTGCCAGGATGTCTACAAAACGCTTGGCAACAGAGAGAAGCTGGTGAGCTGAGCCCACAGCTGCCCTGCTCGTCGGTCTGCATCCATTTGTTCTCTCCTGTCTTCAACTCAGATTGTTACCTCCTGGCTGCAGGTTCTGTTTGTACAGCCCCCCAGCCTGAAGGGGTCTTGGGAGGTGCCCCCACCGCACAGATCATAGTAATCTGGGCAATCCCCTAACCCAAAAACGTCATGCAAAATTACCCCATCCAAGCAGGAAAGCCCTGCGTGTGCTCATTGATGACCTACTGATCGGCTTCCAGTGCAAGTCCTTGCACACACACATTACAGTGCGTCTCTCTGTTACCCACCAAACCCTAGGAGGGGCGGAGAGAACCCAACAAGTTAACCAGGCATCTGCCCCAAACCCATCCCGCCTTGGGAGCACTAAGTGAAGATGCTCCCACACTCTTTTCCTCTGGTTCCCTATCAGATCCAAGCTGCTTCCTAGGACCTTGCTGCTGTTTCCTCCCCCCACCTTTTCCTTGGCTACCGCTTTTAGGGAGATCAGTTTGGGAGCTGGAGATGGGAGAGCTGCGGGGGGGGGGGGGGGGAGAAGAGGCAGGTTGACAGCTGAGAAATGACCGACCAGGCGGTGGGAGAAGTTGCTGAAAAGGGAGGAGGAATCTTCCTTGAGTGGACAGGATTTTAGCACCTAGGGCTAAACCAATAAACCTCTGCCACCCAGTTCTGACCGGGAACAAGGAGCGGCAGTGTGTCTGGAAATGCTCCCAGAGCCGGGTAGAGCAGGAGAGACAAAGAGACCAAATAGAAAGAAGTGTGCGTGCTGGTGGGGCGGGAGAGGCGGAGAGAAGCCCCCCGTGTTTGGTAATTGCCCATGCAGCTGGAAGCAGGACGCAGAAAGCAGCTGGAGCGAGTGCTACGCTGGGCCCAAGTCTCTGAAAAGCAAGATTTCTGGTTTGGGTTAAGCCTGCATCCCCAGGGGAGTGTGGGGCAGAATTTGCTTAAGACCCGAAGATGCTCTTTCCTCTCAATTCCAGCAGCTCTCTCACCAGCCCGGCCGCCCACACCCGGAGTGATTTGGGTTGAACGGAGGCTCTTGCCTGGGCCAGGGCTCACCGAGGGTGTCGCTGATTCCCTGAACTCTCCCTTTGCGCTGCACCTTAGCCAGCCTGACTGCGGCCTGCTCTGGGGACCATGGAGGGGTCGGTCCGTGGGAGCAGCATTGTGGCTACTCTCCTCTGCGGCTGTCTTCTGAGCTCCGTCTGTGCTTTGGTAAGTCTGTTCCTCTGCGCTCTCCCGGTGTCCGTCCTCCTTTCGGGTCTGGCTGCGCTTCACACCAAGGTGTGGTCTTCACTCGGGTTAACATAGCAGTGAAGACGGGAACTCAGGTTAGTATTCTTTATATCACAGCAGCCCCTGAAAGCCCTACCCGAGGGCCGGGACCCCATTGTGCTAGGTGCGGTACGAACACAGAACAAACAGACAGTCCCTGGTTAGCCGCTCGAGTTGAAGTCTATGAGGTTATGTCTACATTACAATTGGGGATGTGACTTGCAGTTCACGTAGAGGTACCTGTAATAGCTTTAATCTAGCTTTTTCATTAAAAATAGCAGTGAGGACGTGGTGGCGTGGGCTTCGGTGTGTGCTAGTAGTGGGGAATATATACCCAGCGGGGCCAGACGGGCTCGCTTAGGGAGCCTGCGGTTGAATGCAAACTGCTAACCCGAGTTACCTAACCCAACTTTCATAGAATCCTAGAATATCAGGGTTGGAAGGGACCTCAGGAGGTATCTAGTCCAACCCCCTGCTCAAAGCAGGACCAACCCCAACTAAATCATCCCAGCCAGGGCTTTCCCCAGCAGCATAGCTTTAAATGTTGCTAGTTACGCTTGGGAACTGTACTGCAGCTCCCTAGAGCTCCAGCCTGCCTGAGTGTGATGAGTGGCTCATTACTGAGAAATACGGTAGGGGTATTTAATGAGAGTAGGAGGGAAATGAGTTTACTGCTGAACAGAAGTAGTGGGGCAGTGGGGAAAGAGGGCTAGCAATTGAGGCTGGCAGCTAGCCTCCAGGACTTGTCTGCCCAGGAAGGTTATTCCGGAATAAGGCAGGGTGTGAGTTTAACGCAGAATAACTATTCTGGAATAACTCCATGTGTGAGCACTCTTTTTCTGGAATAAGAGTGCCTTCTCCCAGGTTAGCGTCATCCACTTCCAAAGTGAATGAAGGTAACTGGGACAAGAACACTGTTGCTCTGGAATAAGGGTGTCCACACTTGGAGTTATTCCAGAATAGCTATTCCAATGTAACTCACGTGTAGACGAGCCCTCTGAGTTAAGGTGTTCAAATCTCACTGAATTTCAATGGAAGTTGGCACCTAACTCCTGTAGGTCTGGTACACTTAAAAGTTTTGCCGGCATAGCTCTGGCAATTAGGAGTGTGAAAAAAATCACCCCTAACGGACATAGGGCTGGCAAAAGTCAGAGTGCAGGTGCAGTTATGGGCTTGTGTCGATATAGCTTGTTTCGACTGGGGAACTGGTGTAAAGTGAACTGGCAGAAGAACTCATTTTTACCAGCATAAGATGTGTCTACACTGGGAGGGTTTGCTGGGGTAGCTATACCGGCAAATCATTTCTAAGGCCTTAGATGCCTTTGAAAAGTTCAGTCTTAAAGCTCATAAAGTAGGTAGTTTCCATGACAAAAATAGCTAATACTAAAATAAAACTGATTTTTTAAACAATAATTTTCCCCTAATAACCAGACTATTAATTTTCGGCACCCCTCCCACATCCATCAATGGTAGGATTTGCTTGCTGTGCAGACATCCTTGAGGGCAGGGTCCCTGGGCCGTGGCCACTTTCTGGTTTTCCATGTACAGGTGGCTGGTCACATGATGCTGGATCCTTCTTGTTTCCTGTTGCTAAATTGCATTCAAGGAAGCTGAGGATACATCTGATAATTTCCCGCTGTTACTTTTCCACAGAAGCAATCGCTGTTGTCACAGAGCTGTTCTGGGATAGCGAGTGGGAGGTGTCCATAGGACAGCCGTTCTACTGATGGTCTGCATTGTATGAAAACCTTTGAGATCGTCTCAGGGCAAAATTCCACTCTTGGAAAAGTTGACCCTGAGAAGGGTTTGACTTGGATATTCTGCTCTCTCTTCCTCCCTCGGGTCTTTCAATTAATTACATTCCAGTAGCATCTGGAGGCCCCAACCTACATCAGGGCCCCATAGCGCTAGGTGCTGTACATATAACATTAAGAGACAGTTCCAGACCCAAATTGATTACAATATAAATAGACAAGACAGGCAATGGGTGGGAGGAAGTGTTATTTATCCCAGTGCTGCAGACAGGGAAACTGAGGCACAGATTAAGTGACTTGCCCAAAGATACACAGGACATGAAACTCATCTCTCCTGCGGTCCAGTCTAGCATCTTAGTCATGAGATCACCCTTCTTTCACTGCTGGAAGCTGACTGGGACATGACCTCATTAAAGGACCTGAAATTACCAGTCAGCTGAAGAGAAAGTACGTACACAGAGGTATTAATGTGTCCCCTCCTCAGACACATGCCTGGGGCTGCACAAACCCTGGCGCCAGCTGTGCTCAGTGGGGTGTAACTGCAGGTCTCTGGGTTCCTTTGCTCCTGCTGGGAGGATCTGCCACCTCCCCGCTCATGTGACTTCTCACCACGTTGCTAGCTGGAGTTTAGAGCTGACCATGGGCAGTCGAATGTGCCAGGCTTGATTGGGGGAGATGGAAACAGGCGGAATCTCGTGTAGCTGCTAAAAGCTTTTTATAAGAGACAGTGATCTCACAAACTGAAAATTCTTTCCATTTCTCATTAACATCCAGGGGCAGAGAGTTCACTGCCTCTGCCTGGAAGGAACCTCAGAGACCCCCAGAGCATTTATGGTTGAGTGAATTTAGAGCTTCTGAAACTCAGGGACTGATAGCGCTAGCTTGATCCAAGCGGTGCTGCTCCCAGCGCACCTTACAAACCTGGCTCCAGGCTTCCCTCATGCAGCTCTTCCAGTGCACCTGGAGCCTGTCCCACACCATGCCCTGAAACGCCACTCCTAGCTCTCCACTGAACAGAGGCTGCACCACTCATGCCAAAGTGGACGGTGGTATTTAGCTTCAAACACTCACCGCTGCTCTCTGTGAGAGGCAGAACCAAACCATACCGTGGGGTAAATGCTGGGGCTAATGACCATCCCCTGGGGCTAATGACCATCATCCTACCTCTGATGAGCCCAGAAAAATTCCCCAACCAGCCCCCACTGTTTGCTCTGTGATCTGCAACATGTTGTTAATTTAATTTTATACAGGAAAAGCAATTGTGTTCCCCCCCCATCCCCCGCTCTCTCTAGCACAAGGCTAGATTCAAATAATAGGATGCAATTGACTCTGGGCTGCTCTTGGTTAGGCCATGAAACTGACCATAGCCAGTATAGTCTTCTGGGGGAAAGTTCACTTTCCCGTTGTTTTCATTGTTTCATTCAGATCTGACTGTATTTTAGATCCAGAGCACGTGGCATATGAGTCCAAGGGCATAATAGGAGCTGTCCAGTTGCAGTTTGAAATGACTGTGATTCTGTCTTAAATCTTTTCCAGCTGAGATGGAACAGAGGGGGGGGGGTGTTACTGCACTGCAAATACACAAAATAAGCCCTGAAAAATGCTGCATAATCATCCCTTAGTGGTTGGGAGCTGACCCTGTCGTGTGCCTGGAGTATTAACCTTAACCCAGGGCGGATGACTTGATCAGGAACTAAAGTTTCTTACCAGAGCTCCCATGTGTCAGATCCTTATTACAGCATCATTCAGCCTAAGGCACTTAGGGGGGAGGGATAGCTCAGTGGTTTGAGCCCTGGCCTGCTAAACCCAGGGTTGTAAGTTCAATCCTTGAGGGGGCCAGTTAGGGATCTGGGGCAAAATCAGTACTTGGTCCTGCTAGTGAAGGCAGGGGGCTGGACTCCATGACCTTTCAAGGTCCCTTCTGGGTCTTGGAGATATGACTACACACCCGGAGCAATTCATTCACCAGTAAAATGCAGCCACTTCTGGGGGTAGAACATGGCAGCTGTTTAACAGTTCACAACTACACAGCAGCGTAGGACAGGAAGGGAAGAAGAGTCCTAAATCCTATTGAAATTAAAGAGGGAATTTGATGGGGTGAAATGCAATCAGATGGCTTAGATTCCCACCAGGACACAGGTTAACAGGCTGCACAAAGGGGATCTTTAATAACTGCAGGGGGCAGGCAGGACCTCAGCTATACGTGCCATGCAAAAGGCCCCATGCAGTACCATGGTGCCCCCTAGTGTCACGACATTGGCAGAGGACATCATCTACTGGACCACTTCCTGGTTGCTCCTTTTTAATGGTTTCCCATCCATATACCAACCTGGCTTAGGTCAGAAGAGCGGCCAGAGCAGAGCACAAGACTGAACAGCGGCATAAGATCAATTTCACTTCTAAAACGCCTCTGCCCAGGTTGTGGGGGCCAAATGCCCGAGCAATTAAAAACCACAAATACACATCACGACACAAACTCATACCGAGCAACACCTCTGCATGCCCTCCCGCGTCCCAGCCCACTGCAGTAAGTTGAGTGCTGCTTCCACAGCTCTGGTGGACTCGGGGAACGGGTGGTGCGATCAGGAGGTGTGATTGATTGCAGACCATGCAGCCATACCCGAGTTAGCTTGGATCTAGCTAGATCCAACCTGGTTTGAGTAACCAGTGAAGCAATGGCAGTATGGGGTGGCAGCTGCTCAAGTATGGACCCAGGGGCCTGGGCTGGTGGGGCTAGCCCATGCCGCTGCCTGTGCCGATGTAGCTTAACTGCTATTGTAACTCACGCTAACCAGAACCTGGTATCCAACCCCCTTTTAACTTGGGAGCTGTTGGATTCTAATCCCCAGATCCAAACTGGTTCCCACCACATTGGTTCCCGATCAGATCCATAACCAGAAGGAGCCTCTTTTCCAGTTTCTGGGTCAGAGCTCAGACGTGTCCGAAATCTGGCAAGAGCTGCTGAGCTCAGATTTCCACCACTCAAGATGGCAGAAGTTTCACCGGCTCGTCTAAGTCGATGAGATTTCTGCCATTTCAGTCCCCAAAACATGTTGCAAAGTCTCGTGAAATGGGAATGGGAGCCCCCAAAGCCCAACCAGGATTAGCGCATAGCACCACTTCAGCCCTGCCGCTATTCCACACCCTGATAACGCTCAGTGAAATTAACCAAGCATCAGGTGACGT